CCTTCTTACTCAGCACACCAAGCATCTTGCATTTGGTTCAGTTGGAAATAACAATAATATTTATATCTCATCTACTATGGAAGATGCCTGTTTTAAATCCTTTCTGTTGGCTCAATCCTTACAACACTATGAGGAGAGGAACTATCTATCACAACCTCAGATTACAGATGAAACTAAGAAACGAAAGGTTCAAGCAACTTGTCCAAGGTGACACACAGGGCCAGGGCTCGCTAGTGGTAGTTGGGATCAACCTCCAGCATTCTTGTTCTTAAAATTCCACATTGTATACCTCTCAGTCCACAAATGAGGTTGGGTACCAACAGTCATAAGCTAACACAGAGTATTTACATTAAGGAGGAAGCACACACATGCTTACCAAGGTGAAGAAAGTTCTGCCTTTAGATTGGTTATCACCTTATGTATCAAGAGATTACAAAATGTCAGTCCAAAAATCCACTCACGGGGTTGGGGATGTGGCTCAAGTGGTAGCGCGCTCGCCTGGCATGCGTGCGGCCCGGGTTCGATCCTCAGCACCACATACAAACAAAGATGTTGTGTCCACCGAAAACTAAAAAATAAATATTAAAAAAATTCTTTAAAAAAAAAAATCCTACAAAAATCCACTCACACAAAATGGTGGACATGTTACTGAGATATAGCAACAGAAAAGAGTGGCCCAGCTGGTGGAATGAGACAGACATCATTACTCTAGGTACATGTATGATTGCACAGATGGTGTGACTCTACTTTGTGTACAACCAGAGAAGTGAAAAATTGTGCTCCATTTGTGTACAATGAATCAAAGAGTATTCTGCTGTCATGTATAACAAATAAAAATTAAAAAAAAAAAAAAAGAGAAACAACAAAAAAAGTAGTGATCCACTGAAAACTCCCCTGGTGCCAATGAGAATGGGCCACTTGCTAGTGGGAATGGTAAGCAAAAAACAAAAAATAAAATCCTATAAGCCTCAAAGAAGGAAGAGAGGAACATACCAGTTACTTGTATTTCATTTAAAGCATACCCAATGTATGAAAATTCATGTTTACAGACAAGATGAACTAAAATGACCTTATTTCTATTACTAAAGGAATCCATTTTAAAAAGGAGGAGGACATATCGAGGAGCAGAAAGGTGGGGGGAGCTAGAGGAGGAGCAGGAGTTATCTGGCCTGGATGTCAATGGTGTTTGGTGGGTTAGAATTATAACTAGGATCTGTTACTGTTCTTTTCCAATTATTCTAAAAACTTAAAGGTATCTTTAACAGCAAAGGAACATGATTCAGTTCGAATGCAAGTTGAGGCCTTAGAAGCCCATCACATACAGACTAGAGGTTCAGTGTGGGTTCTAGAGACAGCCGATTGGAGTAGAATGCCAGGCCTTCCTCTTACCTGTTGTGTGAACTTGAGCAACTTGCTCGCTCTGTGTTTTGGATTCTTCAACTGTTAAACAGAGGATAATCATGGTCGTTCCCTCAGAGGTCATGTCAGCAGTATGATGGCCATCAGTACCTAATTTTCATGAGCACTACATGTGTTAGCTACTATTTTTACCAGCCATCAACTTTCTCAGGTCACTGATTTGTGGCCATCTAAGTATTTTTAACTCATAAATCTGTATAATGAGAATTTCTATTTCACAGGGTAGTTGGTGAGGATTAAATAACACAGAATAACAATGGAAAATTAGAAAAAATCATACAAATATAAGTGGGTATAATTTTAGGGAGCCCTGAAGCCACTTATTGCACCACATACATAAAAATTATGCTCCTGAACTGGGTGGAAGCATTTTCTAGTATCTGGAGCCAAAATCAAGTTACAATTTGCTTAAGTGAACTTAAAAAAAATTGGGGGGTGCTGGGTATTGAACCCCAACTCCTCCCACATGCTAAACAAGCATCCTACTACTTACTATCAAGCTATCCACCCTCAGCCCACTAATAAACTTTAAAAAAAAAAAAAACCCAAACTTTTTTGGGTGGTTGACAGGTCAGCAGACTCCCAGATATGGAGAAAAAGATTAAGGCTAAGTCTGCAATGTCTTTTCTGTGTCTCTGCTTCTACTGCAGCAGCTCAATTTAAACACCTAGAGCCAGCTAAAACATGGTCAAAAAAGATAAGGAATGCCAGGTGTGGTGGCCCACTCTAAATCCCAGAGACTTCGGAAGCCAAGGCAGGCGTTCTAGGCCATCCTCAGCAACTTAGCAAGGCCCTAAGCAACTAAGTGACACCTTGTCTCAAAATAAAAAATAAAAAGGTTGGGGATGTGCCTCAGTGGCTAAGTATGCCTGTGTTCAATCCCTGGTACCAAAACCAAAAACAAACCAAAAGGGTGTGTGGGGGGGTGGGACTACAAGAGTCCAGGCACAGTAACACTAAAGTCTTCATAATCTGATTCTAGGATGAGACCACTTTTCTTTTTATCTCAGTTCTACTTTCTAACAGTTCTGCTATCTCTGTAACCTGAAGGGAATAGAAGGGAGGAATACTGACATTTCTGCTTAGGGAATGTTTAGATAAATGCTGGGAGGAAGTGATGGGACTTCCAAGCACCAGTGAGGTTTTTCACCTCACATGACCATGCATGCCTCTTCCTCCTCCCCATCTGAACCCCTGCTCCACAATTTAACATGCTCACCCTTCTGCTGTCTGCAGAATTAATATGGTTGATCCCTCTCCTGTAGATGCTCTCAATCTCCTTGCTTCCTTGGAACCTTCTCTTATTTTCCTCCTTCCCCACTTCCCCTTTATCATAGAGGCTTGCCACTGTGTAGGATTTCTGTTCTCCTCACACATTTTGAACAAGGCTAGTATGGTTGAAGTGAAAAGAATGATAGTATGCCTGAAAATGAGATTAGGGAGAAGGACCCAGAACAAAGACTGCAGAAGTTGGATTCTACTTTGTCACGAAAAGCCATTAAAGGAGTTTTGAACAAGTTTTGTACATATTTGGTTTTTAAAAGATAACACCAGTTTCTTTGTGATTAGTCTAAAGGGGACAAAAGTGGAATCGACAGATGACTGTAGCAAAAGCAGTAACTACAGTGGTGCTGGTAGAGGTGGTGAGAAGGGGTCAGATGTGGAATATTAAAATGGTAGGAACTGGAGCAACATTTTATTGTTTTTTTCTTGTTGCTACTGTTTGAAATCTTCTATAGTACAAAGATAAAACAATAATGAAGAAACACAAATTGGACCTTTCTCTGGCTAGAGTGTCTAGGAAAGATGGGTGCTTAATTTTATTTGTGCAGTATGGTTTGAAATGGCTTATCCCCTCCAAAAACCCTATTGTGAGGTTATTAAGAGGGTGGAAACTTAACCCAACTATGGTGATTAGCAGTTGGGCCTTTGAGAATTGATTAGGACTTAGGTAAGATCATTAGGGTGGAACCCCATCATTGAAGACTGGTGGGTTTATAAGAGGGAGGACATAATGACCGTGAACACTTCCCATGTGATGCCCTCTGCTGCCATCAAGAAAACCTCACTAGATATAATCCCTAGACCTTGGATCAGAATCATGAGCCAAAGTAAACCTTTTTTCTTTATAACCTAATTAGTAGTATGATTATTAGCAACATAAAACAGACTATGGCACTGTGAGTTAGAGCTTCCAGAAAAAAGCTTAAGAATCCTGCGAGGGCTGGGGTTGTGGCTCAGTGGTAGAGCGCTTGCCTAGCATGTATGAGGCCCTGGGTTCGATCCTTAGCATCACATAAAAATAAATAAATAAAATAAAAGTACTGTGTCCAACTACAACTAAAAAATAAATATTAAAAAAAAAAAAAAAGAATCCTGTGAGAATCACAGCCTTTGGGACAGGAGTTCCCTGTGTTTCTCCTTTGCTAGCAAAGCAATAAAAAAAAAAATAGAATCCTGCCACAAAATCTTTTCTCTCTGGAGAAAAGAGAGGATCATCTGTTCAGATTGCCTAAAATGAGGAGCAAGTGGTAAATTTTCACGATGAAAAGGACCAAAGGACTTTTACAAATAAAGATTCTGAGTCTTTTGAAATCCTGACAATCATGCTGTCTCAGATCTGTGGGAGGAAAATTCATATAAATGATCCAGTGTTCTCAGGAAATCAGAGATCAGTTGGTGACCCAAGAAAACCTGAACAAAAATTATGTGGGAAGAATTTTCCCTTGAGTTCAAAGAAACCCATGGTTAGTATCTATCTAACAGCAGAGTTTAAAACTCCAGTTTTCAATAGTAGAACAAACTGCCAACATTGCCTAAGGAGAGATTGTGAAACCAGTGTTTTGATGTCAAGGTGATATGCACTGGTGTGTTTATGTCAATTAGTTTTATCGAGGTACAATTTATAAACAATAAAATCCACCCATTTATGCGAGCAATTCAGTGAATGCAGTCATGTAGTCAAATCTGATATAGAAAATTTCCATCCCTCAGGCTGGTCTGAAAGTAGTGAGTTATCCCAATTGAATGATCAGACAGTTACAGAAAATTTCCATCCCTTATGCCACTTCAGTCACCTCTTACCCCACGAACAACCACTAAACTGCTTTATCTCATTACAGATTTGCCTTTTCTAGAATTTCCTATACATTATGCAGTAATTTGAGACTGAATTCTTTCCCTTGGCATAATGCTTTTGCAATTCATCCCTGTTGTTTTCTCAGCAGTTTCTTTTTACTATGAAAAAAGTATTCATTATATGGATCTCTGGTTTGTTTTGCTTTTTCATCTTCTGATGGACACTTAGGTTGTTTTCACTCTATTACACCTGTTATAAACTTGCAATGAACTTTCATGTAAAGGCTATGGGTGAACATTAATTTTCACTATTCTTAAAATAAACCTCTAGAAGTGGAATTGCCATGCCAGGTGATAAGTTTGTCTCACTTTATAGGAACAGCCAAATTGTTTTCCAAAGGGCTATACCATTTTCCATTTCCATTAGTAACTTGATCCCTGCTCTTGAATTTTAGAGAGGGCTACGTAGAACCTAAAGGAAATATGAAAAACATAAGGCACATAATTTGAAGAGAAACAATAAGTCTAATTTCTCAAGAGAATGTGAACAAAGAAAAACATGCCCTGCTTGGATAAACATAAAGTTCTTGCAGTTAAAAATTCTGGATAGGATACATAGTTCTAATAACACTGCTAAATTGCACAGCACAGATGTTTTCACTCTGTCATCAACCAGAATAATAGTCCACTCATTGTATACCATAACACAGTGCTTGATACTTAAATACTTTAAATGGATGAATGATTTTTCAGTGAGGGAACATATATGAATAACCTTACTATCTATCTCCTTCATGAGATACAGTAAGAGTTACACTAAAAATATATGAGTCTTTATAGTACAAGTACTCAAAAGCCTGAACAGGTTCATGTCACTTAATGGGGATCTTTCCTGTGAACTCGCTGGTGGATGTGAAGGTTGGAGCTCTGGCTGAAGCCCTTTCCACATTTGCTGCACTCATAGGGCTTCTCTCCAGTATGCACTCTCTGGTGGATGAGGAGCTTGGAACTCTGGCTAAACCCTTTCCCACACTTGCCGCAGTGATAGGGCTTCTCCCCAGTATGGACCCTGAGATGGATGCGAAGGTCTGAGCTCTGGCTGAAGCCCTTCCCACACTCATAGCACTGGTAAGGCTTCTCTCCTGTGTGGATGCACCGGTGAATGTGAAGGTTTGAGCTCTGGCTAAAGCCCTTCCCACACTCTCCACACTTGTAGGGCCTCTCTCCTGTGTGGACTCGCTGGTGGATGTGCAGGTTTGAGCGCTGACTGAAGCTCATCCCACATTCCCCACACTCATAGGGTTTCTCCCCAGTATGGACTCGCTGGTGGATGTGCAGTTTGGAGCTCTGACTGAAGCCCTTCCCACACTTGTCACATTTATAAGGTTTCTCACCCGTATGGACTGCGTGATGGATAAGCAGACTAGAGCTCCTGGTGAAGCCCTTCCCACACTTGTCACACTTATAAGGTTTCTCATCCGTGTGGACTGCTTGATGGATCAGCAGACTAGAGCTCCTGGTGAAGCCCTTCCCACACTGCTCACATTTGTAGGGTTTTCCTTCTGTGTGGTCTCTCTGATGAAGTGGTATTTCTGAGTTCTGACTGAAGCCCTTGCCACACCCACCACATTTGCACTGTTTGTCTGCAGTATGGATTTTTTCAGAGGGGTGAACATCTGGGCTGGTAATTGGTATTTTCCCACAGTCATTATGGTTACAGGGTTGTTCCTCTGTGTGAGCTCTCTGATGACTACAGCTAACCAACTGTGATCTCCATCTATAAATATCTTTACAGTTACCGTCAAAGGGACCCAAAGAACCCTCCAACTGTCTACTCTGGCAATTTGCCTCATGACCAAACAATGGTGACTCCAGTTCTGTTACATCAGACACAAGTTTAACTTGAAGGTTTTCTGAACAACGGTTCATCGAAAGATTTTCCCCTCTTATTACTTTTCTCTCAGTGTTTTCTTCAGTTACAAAGAGATCTCTGCTCTCCTGAGGATCCTGAAGTTCTTTCTTACAGAATTTCACAGGGGAGTCTTGTGTGGCCATTTGGCTTGGAATTTCAAAGACAAATATATTTCACTTGCAATGTTTCTGAAATCATCACTTTGAAGAGTAACCACACTATTCCTGTTTCTGTAACTATGACAAGATGCTTCTCTCCACTTTTGACACAGAGAAATATCTCAGGATCCCCATGTACTTCTCTTTAAGGATTTATAATGTAATCCAGATTCCAGGTATTATATTGTCATCTCTTTCAAAATTAGCCAGTAGATGCCATAACAGATCCTGAAGTTCTTTCTCTTGGTTTTCCACAGAACTTTCATTCATGTCTCCTAGGGAACAAGAAGAATTTAGTGATAAGAACCAAGGGTAAATTTCAAGAGAGCAGAACAGGAGTAGCTAAGGCCTGAAGACTTTGTAACTAGGAGAAAGTTCAGCTTGTCTTTCTAGTCATGTCCTTGGATTAATGTCAGGAGAAAAAGCCTTGAGTTCAGAAGTCAGACATTCCCTTTCTGATCTAAAACAAGGCCAATAATCCTGAAGAGGTTACTGAATCCTATACCCTTTTTTCCCACAAATAACATTTCATTTTACTGTATTTTAGTTTTAACAAATTCTTATTTTATTGATACTCTACTTTCAGAGGTGTTGGGGATACAAGAAAATAGAAATCCTTCTGCTTAGCAAGCTAGAGCTTCCTGGGATGAAAGACAAATATATCAACAACAATAATACCAAGGTAAGTGGTACAGATGTATATACAACGTAATACATGCACAACTAGCAATGGGAGCACAAAATAGGGGAAATCAACCCAAATCTTGGGGCCTTGGAAAGATTTCTCAGAGAATATGATGGCCAAAGGGGGGAAAAAGTGAAATGTCCCTAGTGGCTTGGGAGGCTGAGGCTCTAACCAAATTAGCAAGACTCTGTCTCAACACTTTACAGAAGAAGAAAAATGATCGGTCAATAAATACATGAAATAATGTTCAACATGTCTCGTAATTACAGAAATGCAAAATAAAACTGTACTGAGATTTCAACTCATTCCAGTTGGAATGGCAATTATCAAAAATACAAGTAACAATAAACATTGGTGAGGATGTGGGAGAAAAGGTACACTCATACATTGCTGGTGGGACTGCAAATTGGTGCAATCACTCTGGAAAGCAGTTTAGAGATTCCTCAGAAAACTTGGAATGAAACCACCATCTGACCCAGTTATCCCACTCCTCAGTTTATACCCAAAGGACTTAAAAATCAGCATACTACAGCGATACAGCTACACCAATGTTTACAGCAACTCAATTCACAATAGCTAAGCTATGAAACCAACCTAGGTGCCCTTCAACAGATGAATGGATAAAGAAAATGTGATACATATACACAATGGAATATTACTCAGCCTTAAAGAATGAAATTATGGCATTTGCCAGTAAATGGATGGAACTGGAAACTATCATGCTAAGTGAAATAAACCAATCCCCAAAAATCAAAGGTTGAATGTTCTCTCTGATATGTGGATGCTGACTCACAATAGGCTGGAGGGGGGGAGGGAGGTTGGGTAGATGGGGGGGGGGGGGGGGGGGATGCGAGGCAGGGGAGAGGGGAATGGGAAAGACAGTAGAATGAATTGTACATAACTTTCGTATGTTCATGTATGAATACATGACCAGTAACTCTACATCATGCACAACCACAAAAATGGGAAGTTACACTCCATGTATGTATGACAAGTCAAAATACATTCTATTGCGATGTATAACTAAAAAGAATAAAAAATTAAAAAACAAAAGACCCTGTCTCAAAATTAAAAAAAAAAAGCTGGGGATGTTGCTCAGTGGTTAAGCACCCCTGGCTTCAATCCTTGGTACAAAAAAAAAAGTGAAATATGGAGAGAAAATATGTGTTTGGAAAAACTAAAAGTAGCTTATTGTAAAGCAGATAAAAACAAAGGAAACAGTGGGACTGGAGGGTGTAGCTCAGTGGAAGAGGACATGCCTAGCACATACAAGGTCCCAGAGCTTCATACCCAATTCATTTTTTCTTTCTCTCCCCCCTCTCTCTCTCTCTCTCATACACATACACACACAAAGCAGGAGGCAGAGCAAAGGGCTTGATGTCTGACACTGAGTTCTTCCAACCAAACCTAGCATTAACTGAAACCTATAAAGGATTTACATTTAGGGTGAAATAACTGTGATTTTAAACACCACTGGAAAGCAGGACTTTAGATAGACAGTTGCTTTAGCAATTCATAAGAAAAATAGTAAGGGTGACTGTTGTGGAGAGACAGAGAGAAATTCATTCTAAATCATGTGATAAAAAACAAAACCTAGAAGCCTAGGGGAAAGAGACACTAAGCATGCTCTCCAGGTTCCCTGTCTGAGTGACTGGTGTGTTGGTGCTATAACGGATAGGAAGTGAAAGGGGAAAAGGTTGAAGTGGGGAAGGAGAACAGATAACAAACTTAAAATTTGACTTGTTTAATTTGTGGTGCTGGTGGGGTGTTGTTATAGCTGTCCAGGACCAGAGAGCTACATGGGTCTAGAATCCTAAGAGAATTGCGCTCAGAATACAGAGTTTACTTACTGGTATGCATGCTAGTTAAAACACAATGTCGGACTGAGGCTGTAGCTCAGTGACAGAGCACTTGCCTAGCATGTGGTTCAATCCTTAGCACCACATAAAAGTGAAACAAAATAAAGGGACGTTGTCCATCTATAACTACAAAAAAACATTAAAACACAGTGTAAATATATTAGATTGCTATTAGAATAGAAATGTTGAGGAACTCCTAGATGATGGAAAACAGATTAGGAATGATAGGAAAATTAAAGAAAAAAGTACACAGCTCAAATCATGTATAGGAGAAGAATTTGGAGGTAAGGGATTCTCAAAAAGTCCTAGAAATTTAAAATCAGACTCAGAATCAACAATATAAAGCAAGACAGGCTTATTAATTCAAGTTAAGCATTCCAAATGCACATGTTGTCATTAGTAGCACCACTCTCCCAACTCTCCTCTTGCCCACAAAACCTGAAATTTTGGTGACTAACAGCAGGGACCCCATATAAAGTCTCAAGAAACATGATCAGCCAGCCAGAAGGCTCCTAATAGTATTACTTGGGCTGAAGAGAGAAGCAGAGGTTGGGTTATTGTTGAATCTACACAATGACATGACCAATTAAGGTACAAAAAGAAGCAACTGACTCCATATGTGCCCAGGATAGCCTTATGGTAACCTCTGAAGCAGACTTCGGGAGAAAGCAAGATAGCCCAGAGCTTGAGCTGGAAAAACAGGACTTGCCCAAGTAACTTACTGGAACAAAGGGGTGGCCTTTAAAAGTGGCTTCTACCATCCACCATCTAAATTTTCATTAGATTCTCCCAAGCCCAACCAGCAGAGGAATCCCTAAAGTAGAACACACATGTGCCACAGTGGTAGAGCATTGGCTGAGGATGCACAGTATACCATCATACTGGGAATACAAGACTTTTGAAAAAATATATAAGGAGTCAATTAAAAAATATATATAAGCGGACTAAAAAAAAACTACTAAGAGGCACAAACTCAAGAAACAGTGAACAGAGGAAATAGGATTTTAAAGGTACATAATTAAAATACCAGAGAAATCAGAGGATATCATATTTAAACACAACTGAATAATATAAACATACTGCTATGAAAAATAAATCATAATTCTTCTAAAAAATGATTAATCATAAGTAATACCTGCTGTTCCCAACTAAAGCATTCAAGTATTGGCTGCATAATTTTATGTTACAAGAACTAGTAGGATACTCATTCTGCACATGAGGAAATTCATGCTGAAAAAGCTTAAGTGACCTGTATCACAGATAAGTGTCAGGCTATCTTATTTTAAGGCCTACAATCTACGTGGGGGAAATGGCGAAAAAGAAAATATGGCTAAGCTGGAAGATTGAGGGATTCTCCTAGAAGAAAGATAAAAGTAAAGGCCCATTTCCTACTAGTATTATGAGGGCAGTAATGGCTAATAAAGTCAGAGAAAATTATCAAAGAGAGAACAAAAAATTTCTCCCCTCAGAAATCAAGATTCAGAGCCGTTGTTAAAATGGTATGTGAAAAGACCCATAATTTTTAGGCACAACCTTATAAAACCTCAGGAATAACAAGGCCAATCAAAACAACAACAAACCCAAAACAAAACAAAAAGCTGGGCATGGTGGCACATGCTTGCAATCCCAGCAACTCAGGAAGCTGAAGCAGGAAGATCACAGGCTTGAGAGCAGCCTAAGCAACTTTAGGGAGACCCTGTCTCAAAATTTAAAAAAATTAAAAGGTCTGGGGATATAGTTCAGTCGTAGAGCACACATGGGTTCAATCCAAGGATGAGAAACAAACAAAATAATAAAAACCCCATAAAACCCCCAAAATGCTAAAAGCAACCAAATAGGAAAGCCAGACTATGTGCAAAAAATATGAATTATATGGACATTAAACAAAATCTGGAGAAAAAGTGATTGTGCAATAAAAATTCTATGGGCTGGGGTCTTAGCTCAGTGACAGAGCACTTGCCAAATGTGTGAGGCACTAGATTCAATTCTCAGCACCATATATAAATAAATAAATTAATTAATTAAAGGTCCATTGACAACTAAAAAAAAACATTTAAAAACAATTCTATACACAGTCAATCCAATAGAAGGAAAAGAGATATTTTTAAAAAATATTTAGTTAGTTAGTTAGTTAGTTATAGTTGGACACAATACCTTTATTTAATTTATTTATTTTTATGTGGTGCTGAGGATCTAACCTAGGGCCTTGCACATACTAGGCGAGCGCTCTGCCGCTGAGCCACAACCACAGCCCAAGAGATAATTTTTCAGATAAGAAATAATTCAATTACTGAAACATTCAGAGATGGACTGCAGTTTTTTTTTTAATTAAGGAAAAGAACAAAATAGAGGACACAGAGACAAATCCACAAAATTACAACTACCTTACATTAGACCAAGGTGCTAAAACCATGCAATGGAGAAAGGATAGCATCTTCAACAAATGGTGCCGGGAGAACTGGAAATCCATATACAACAAAAATTTCTTAATAAGACTCCTATAGTATAAGAATTAAAACCAAGAATTAATAAATGGGTGTCTTATTAAGAAATTTGGGGCCTGCCCCCACGTGATGAAGATTAGGGCCAACTTTATCTTCTATTAGACACAGAGTCTCTGGTCTGATTCCTAGCTCCTTGATCCATTTTGAGTTGACTTTTGTGCATGGTGAGAGAAAGGGGTTCAATTTCATTTTGTTGCATATGAGTTCTTTATATACCCTAGAGATTA